AACAACTGAATCTGAACTCTCCATGGCTATCTATTGGAAAATCAAAATCGTTCGAAACAACAATAAAATTCAAAACTAACAAAAAAAAACAAACAAAAATCAAATCAAATCAAAAATCAAAACAAAACCAACCCAACCACCTCTATTGGTACTACAATCAATTAAATGACCTATCTATATCTATGTGCATATACAGCATACGACGTGGCGCCCATTGGGTGGTTAATTTACCATATTTTGATTTCTTCATAATGGTCGTCATATCAATGTCATCAATAGCATTAGCAGCCGAAGATCCCGTTCGTGAGAACTCGAGGCGAAATAAGATCTTAAATTACTTTGATTATGCATTTACCGGCGTATTCACGATAGAAATGTTGCTGAAAATTGTAGACTTGGGTGTCATCCTACATCCTGGCAGCTATTTAAGAGAATTCTGGAATATTATGGATGCTGTGGTCGTTATATGCGCTGCTGTTAGTTTCGGTTTCGATATGAGCGGTAGCAGCGCTGGACAAAATTTGTCCACTATCAAATCGCTTCGGGTGCTGCGCGTCCTGCGTCCATTGAAGACTATTAAACGTGTTCCCAAATTGAAAGCCGTCTTCGATTGCGTCGTGAACTCATTAAAAAATGTTGTTAACATTCTAATCGTGTACATATTGTTTCAATTTATATTTTCTGTTATTGGTGTACAATTGTTCAATGGAAAGTTTTTTTATTGTACGGATGAGAGTAAACATACTTCCGAAGAGTGCCAGTAAGTAAACATTTTCTTTCCGTATTTTCAAAAACATTGACAATTGTTTTTGATTTCACTTTTCGTTTTCGTTTTCGTTTTGGTTTCTTTTCCTTTTCGTTTCTATTTGTATCTGTTCTCAGTTGATTCTGTGTTTCGTAAGTCATACAAATTGTTCATGTTATAGTTTCTATTATTATTTCATAGATCTTATTATTATGATTATTATATCTATTAGACGCGCTACACATACATTTCGGTGTTATCATATCTATATACATATATATATGTGTACATGTATATGCATATATGTATATAAACATACATATGTGTATATAAAGTTTTTCTATACACTCTTGCTCTCTCTCTCTCTGTGTCTCTCCTTCTCTGTCTCTCCCTCTTTTGTATTTATCCATCCGTTTTTCAATCTCTCGATAAATACATGCATTTGAATGTATATATATTTATTGATATGAATATATATGAATATATACATTCATATGCTACATACATATATATATACATGTATATGTTCGATTGATTAGACTCTCTTTAATATACATATATATATAAATACATCAGTTATTGTCTGTGTGCTCCAATCCTTAGCTTGTTATAACTGTGTCTACAAAGCTTTAAATACCTACTACATACATAATAATAGTTAATTGTGTACATGCCTAGCTTTCTTAAATCACAACACGAGTTACATTCTGATATATGTATGTCTAACTTACATCTGTTTTACCTATATGTACATTAGCTTTTTAGGTAACTCTACCAGACTGAACATACATAGATGTCTAACTAATTGATCAACCTATCGCTATCTCTCTGTGTGTGTGTGTGTGTGTGTGTGAGTGAGTGTATGCTTGTTTATGTGTGCCTCACATATGAGGTGTTAATTAGCACTACGCTAGCTAGTTGTCTACCTTGTAAAAAAAATGTACACAGTTCAATACCCTTATATATATCAATATGTATTACATATATAACTAAAAAAAAAAATGAACCAAGTTTGATCAACAAAATATTCTGATATACAATATACATACATACAAAAAAAAATCGAGCAGATGTCAAGTTCAGTTCTGTTCAGTTGAGTTGTGATAAATGATTTAAAAAAAAACGGGAGAGTGAGCTGCGATGCCCAAGACAGGGACCAGGATTCTGAGCATAGAAAAAAAAAACTTGCAAATGAATACTATATATAAATATACACATGCATATATGTATATATAGAAAAAAAAAAATGATTAAAAATCTCTCTTTACTTTATGTTGTACTAAATGTATTTGTTTTTAAAAAAAAATAACCGTAACTTTTCCGATTGTACATTCTTTAAGTTTCGATTTGATTTTCGTGTTCTTTTGCGTTCTCATTTTGTTTTCTTCTGCGTTCTTCTGTTCTAAGATGACAAAAAAGAAAAAAAAATTTTACAGAATGTAAGAGTAGCATTTTAAAGTTTCTCGCCCAGTTTTCTTGCCTGAATTGTGCTTCCACCACAATCAAGCGAGTAAAAGGGCCAAAAACAAAACAAAAAATATAAAAAAAAAGAAGAAAAAACTCAACGATAAACATAAATATGTGAATTTAATAACGAAG